TTAAAAGCAAAACGGCTAGCAACTAATAAGCGCAAAGAGCGCAGAAAGGTCAGACGCCAGAGACGTTCAACTATCACAATAACGGCGAACAAAAAACACATAAAAAACCTCTTAAATGAAGAACTTACAAATGACCAGATTAATTTACTGACAAAAGGGTTTAAATTCATTCCAACGCCCGTGACAAAACAAACACAAATCAGGCACCAACTCTTGTGTGACTTTGATCAGTTTGCAAGAAGAATAGTGGTTTCTTGGTGTTGCGGATCACCAAATGACGTCACGTTTAGACCGTTTTGTGTTTCTCACCATCATAAGGTTCACCAAATGACGTCACCTTTAGAACGTTTTGTGTTTCTCACTATCATAAGTATCACCAAATGACGTCACCTTTAGACCGTTTTGTGTTTCTCACTTTCATAACGTGCAAGTTTTTAGTCAACCTTTACAAATCCTCTTTTCGGCAAACGAATGCAAAATTTCTGTCGGTTTGTCAGTACCGACAAATTCACTGACAAATTTTGACTTAATTAAGCAAGGGTTCAACTGACACGAACTGACAAACCGACAAATTCACTGACAAATTTTGACTTAATTAAGCGAGAGTTCAATTGACACGAACCGACAAACCGACAACTGACAAATTTTGTCGGTTTGTCAGTACCGACAAATTCACTGACAAATTTTGACTTAATTAAGCGAGAGTTCAACTGACATGAACCGACAAACTGACAACTGACAAATTTTGTCGGTTTGTCAGTACCGACAAATTTACTGACAAATTTTGACTTAATTAAGCGAGAGTTCAACTGACATGAACCGACAAACCGACAACTGACAAATTTTGTCGGTTTGTCAGTACCGACAAATTCACTGACAAATTTTGACTTAATTAAGCGAGAGTTCAACTGACATGAACCGACAAACCGACAACTGACAAATTTTGTCGGTTTGTCAGTACCGACAAATTCACTGACAAATTTTGACTTAATTCAGCGCGAGTTCAACTGACATGAACCGACATGAACGGTCAAAGGGCCAGTAAAGTAAAAACGGAAGTACACGCATTATGTTGCTGGCACGATACGTGTTTAATAATCTCATCTTTACACAGTATCATTATATGTCCATGCCTTTCACATAATTTTTGGGACCAAAAGCAATGTGAAACCACCATGATAAGGCCTAGGAGCACAATCGACAAAACTCAGCAATATATAATACATTTGAAGTGTAAATCTCCGATCACCTTTATAGCCTTATAGTCTAATCGTAGATCTAATAATCTCATTTTGTGTTTCTTTTTAAAAAAATGCGCATACCTAAATTTCAACTGAAACCATTCAATTACAGCGTAGAATGGCAAGTATATGACATTCCTGTTGTCAAATCAAGTATCACTATAGAGCCTCTGTATGGGCATTTGCCGACGTCTATTTTGTTTCTCGTTGCTTTTTCATCCATCGGTTTTGCAGGCGAAATAGTGGCCTTTAATGGAATTAATTATTTTGCACTGTAAAGCTATAGCTAATAGCGAGCTCAGAGCATCGCAACGACGACGAAGAGTGGAAAATAACCAAAACAAAATTTTCGCAAGTGCATCACGCCGGACTAACGTTTTCAAACTTTATTGAAAAGGTCGCGATCGTCGCTTTAATCTCTAACATGGTTGCCTTACCAATCTTTGACGTATCGTCACCACTTCGGTTTCTTTGTCGGAAATACCCATTCAGAGGCGTCTTTAATAACATAACGGTAAAGTAAATAAACGCAACTGGGTTGAAATATCATAAACTTCCTACCTGAGTAAATTTTTAGTGTTGCTGGCGACTAGTGGCAATATTGCACTAGACGATCACAATGGAATTGTAAATGGGTCATACACTTTTTTGAAACATTTTGATATTAAGTTGAATGGCAAAAAAGTGTATGATTGTAATGACGCGAATCACGCGGTAAATATCAAGAACTTGCTTGAGTACAGTCCATCTTACGCTGAACAAACCGCCAGCAATGAGTTTTACTATCTTGATACAACAAGACACCCAGAGGAAACAAGATTCACTAAAAGACAAGTAACTCATAGAAGAAATGCTGCCAATAACGCCGATGAGGCAGGATTAATGTTGGATGCTGTAGTAGCTAATTACAATAACGGTTTTGCCCTTCGAACAGCACTCTTAGGTGCCTCAGCCATAGTACATACAGAAATACCACTGAACAGATACTCATTCTTCGAAATGCTAGAAAATAAGCTGTTACCCAATACAAGGGTTGAGATTAATTTTGAGATTGAGTCCGATGGTAATCTAATTTGGCAAGCAGGGGCTAATTGCAGGGTGGTTATAACCAGAATGCAATTGTATGTTCCACGGATAACCTTTAACAGTCAGGGCCAATCAGCCTACATGAGCCAATACCTTAAACCACACAAATGGACTTATTTGAGAGAGAATATTGAAAGATCAAATAGTAGCCAGCAGAGAGCTGGGCATTTTAGAATCTCTTCTGGTATTTCGAAACCAAGGCATGTGTTTGTGTTCATAATCAATGATGCGAATATTGATGCCCAGACAGTTAATCCATTCTTGTACAACACATTCTCTGTCTCAACTGACGAAAGGACCTTATCCAATTGTCACCTGGAAGTTGGAAACGGTAACGAATATCCTGAAATACATTACACACCATCTACTAATATGACTAGAGTCTTCAGGGATGTGTTGAAATATGTCCATAAAAATAATGAATACGGTGAAGGGTCATTACTCAATATATCTAATTTTAAAACGCTATTCCCCTTCCTGTATTTCGACCTAACAAAACAGAAAATGGACACTAAGGATGGCACTACAAAACTGACATTCAAATATGAGCTATCAGGAACAACAGCGGCGGCAGATAGTATTTACGCATTAACATTATATGAGCAGGATGTTGAGCTAATACAGAAGGATGGTAAAATAATACTCAGATCTTAATTGAATAGAATTCAAATTATGTAACGTATATTATATACAAGTAATGACAACCTATCATCCTTATGGTGTTTCACTTAGCAAGGGGCAATTGCGAAAAATTGCTATAGCTTACAATAAGAAGTCGCCCATAACAATCAGACTAACGAAAAATGAGTTATCAGGTCCACATGAATTAATGCTTACAAAAACTCAGATCAATAAACTGAAAAGAGCAATAAGCAATAAGACAGGATCAGATATCAAATTCTCAAAGCCACAAATTAGAAACGCTGTTAAACAGGGTGGAAGTTTGTGGGGATCATTGATAAATTTGGGAAGCAGGTTGCTACCTATGGCGATGCCCCTAGCAAAAAAAGCTATCGCCCCGCTTGCCACAGGAGCTTTATCAGGATTAGCCAGTCTTGGTGTAGATAAAATATTTGGAAAAGGGCAACGAGGAGGTTTTCTTATTCCACAAGATAAAATAAATCAATTGATTGCGTACAAGCATTTACTATCCACAGGCCAGAAAAGGGATATTCTTAATGCTCTCCAAACTGGCAATGGATTAGTTATCAGACCAACACAAAAACAGAGCGGTGGATTTCTTGGTACTCTACTAGCGAGTATAGGAGTTCCTCTATTACTAAAGGCATTAACAGGAAAGGGGACTCAAGTCGACAAAACTGGTTCACCCGCTAATACAACACCTGTTTATGTTCCCGATACAATAACTGGCCACGGAAGGTATAATCCGTATCCCTACAGGTCACCACCCTTTAATGGAACATGGGAAAATCCCGTTGGTGCGGGATTAAAAAACAAAAAAAAAAACAAAAAAAGAGCACAAAAAAAGGGAAAGGGACTGCTGCTCGGCAAAAACAGTCCATTCAATTCAATCCCAATTCTGGGAACAATACTATAAAATTCATAGGTAAACCGTTATCCAACTATGATCTACTTAATTGGGTTGATTATCTTGGTATAAAACATTTCAGAGGTATATTTAGCAGAGACAATTTACCAAATAAAATTAAAAAATTGGAAACTGGTATTATAAATCTTGACACCCAAATTGGAAATGGAACGCATTGGGTAGCATATAGAAACATAGATGACACAGTATGCGAGTACTTTGATTCGTTTGGATTAAGAATGCCCTCTGAAATTCAAGTATATTTACAAACAAGTGGTGAGAAATTAGTATATTCAAGTGATGAGATACAGGAAAGAAACAGTGTTTTGTGTGGTTATTGGTGTCTGTATTATCTTTTAGAAAGACAAAAAGGAAAACCAATTCTTGATGTCATACATAATGCTTCTTTTGACCCCAATGATCATTCAGTCAACCATAAATTTATCATAAAATATTTCAAAAATATGTAACTTATATGTATAATGGTTAAAACCTTATGCGTAAAGGAAAATAAATTAACTGAATGTATCCAACCTTCTGGTTATAAAACTGCTAAAAACAGTCGACTAATGTTTTGGTGCACTTGTGCATCATGCGGATTACGAAAAACTACATTTGTTTCTTCAAAAAAAAACTTGTCCCGCCTGTCCAAGGGGCAGGCTTACTAGATATAATCGCTGGTACAGCTCTTGATGGGTTTGTACACCATGCTTTACCTTTTATGGCTAAAAAGACCGTTGAGATGGGCCGTTATTATGGGTCAGAAGCATTACGCAATAAAAAGTTACAAAAAAAAGCTATCGACTATGCGCTTGATAAGTTGAATCCGATGATACAGAATGTTGGTTCGCAAGCCCTTAACCAATTATCAACCAAAATACGACCAAAGAAAAACTATAAAACAAACAGGAAGGATTTGGATGGTGGTGCTATAGATATCCACAAGCAGATTGGTAAATTACCAAGACCCGCAAAAGGATGGACCTTACCAGGGCATAAATACACTGGTCCCTACAACGATCTCGAAAACCAAGTAAGATACAATCCAGAAACTGGTGAAATATTAGAAATTTATGATCAACCAACTGGGTCAACCGATGCAGTGGCCATGCAGCACGATGTCGATTATAGTGTTTGTGGTGATAGCCGAAAGTGTAAAAGTAAAGCTGACCGTAAAATGGTAAAATCATTAGATGCTATTCCTTATAATGAACGACAATGGGGTCACTGGTTAGCTAGAAATCTAATAAACACAAAACAGAAACTCGGACTTGGTTTAAACTAGAAAAGCCGTCGGGTATTAGTTGGCAGCAACAATTAGCGAACGAATTACATAAACCCATAAAACGCAACTTTCCTTGGCGGCGTGTTATTACAACTGGTATTGACAAAATTTGGTGCTCAGATCTGGTTGAGATGCAACAGTTTAGCAAATGGAATAAGGGTTACAGATACCTCCTTATGGTACTAGATCTATTCTCCAAATATGGCTGGATTGTCCCATTAAAGGATAAGACAGGGGAAACTGTCACGCAAGCATTCAAAACAATCTTCAAAGAGGGCCGTAAACCACAATATCTTTGGACTGATAAAGGGAAAGAATGTTATAACAAAAATATGAGGGAATTATTGGAAAAGAATAACATAACACTATATTCAACCGAAAATGAGGAAAAATCGAGTGTGTGTGAAAGATGGAACCGTACAATTAAAACCAAAATGTGGAAGCAATTCACTGTTCAGGGTAATACCCAATATCTCGACATGCTACCACAAATATTGGAGCAATACAATAACACCAAACACAGTTCCATTAAAATGACACCTGTAGAAGCTAGTAAGAAGAAAAATGAAAAAGCCGTACATTATAATATGTATGGTGATATGGAACAGTTGTCATCGAAGCCTAAATTAAAGGTTGGCGATAAGGTTAGGATAAGTAAGTACAAAAGAAAGGTGATTGATAAAGGTTATACACCAAACTGGACCGAAGAAATATTTTTAATAGATCAAATACAATCCACAAACCCAATCACTTACAGATTAAAAGATCTTAACGATGAAAAAATACAAGGCAGCTTTTATGAACCTCACTGAATTACTGAAGGCAAAACAGGATGTATTTCGCATTGATAAAGTGATTCGAAGAGATTATAAGAAGAAACAAGCTTTGGTAAAGTGGAAGGGATATAGCAACGATTTTAATTCATGGGTTTCGCATGTCAGTACAAACATTGTAGGTTTCTTTTTTATTATCATATTTGAAATCTACAGTTACATACATTTTACCCTGCGTAAATCGATTGCAACATTCAGTATTCACTTTGATTCTTGTTTTGTTGAGGTAGCATATATTTTTATAAAGTTGGTTGTTCACGGGGTTAAAATAAATAGAAATTTTACCATGTTTTAAAAATGTTTTTAACATCTCATGTGTTGGTTTATCGTATCTACATGACTTTTCTATATGTTGCAAAGTTTCAATTATTGGACACATATCATTAACTGTTTTTGACTCCATGTAATTATAATTAACTTGACTTCCATTTGCAACAGGCTCACATTGATTTGGATCCCCAAACATGAATATGTTATTTTTGAACATTGTAAATATTTTGTATACTTGTGTGATCCATTTATTTGGTGCCATACTGAACTCCTCAATGAAAAATGTTTTGTTTTTTAAATTATTAATGTTTTCATCTTTCCATTCACAAAAATATGAATCGAATGTATAACATATTTTATTAACATCACCGTTATAATTCATTTTTTGTAATCTACTTTTAACATTTTCAACTGCTTTATTTGTGAATGACAATACAAGTGGATTTTCGGTTTTTAATATCATTTCGCACAGTTTTGTTGTTTTTCCTGAACCAGCTTGTCCATTAAAAATAATACCTTTGCCATTAACAATTTCATATTCTTTCACATCAATATTTTCAGAGCGCTTTTGACAAACAAGATAGAACAGTCAACGTGGTAAAAGCTCTGAGCAAATTTGCTGGCAAAGGTAAGATGTTTCGGCTGTAACTTAAAAGCAAACACTGTCGGCATTCCTTTCGCGACCTACATCTAGTGTTTTATTTGTTTGCAGCCAATCACGTACAGGGCAGGGGGACAGTAGATTTTCAACAAATTTTTAATCTTGCAAAAATGCAATACCGATTCTAGGAAAAGTAAGAAAATATTCCCAGAAATGTTCGTCACAGTCACAAAAGAAGAAAAAGGCGCCAAGAAAAAAAGATATGAAATGGTAACGAAATCACTGAGGGTGATGTTACTATAACCGTCACGCCATCTTTCACATATGTAACGTCACGCGTTTTTTTTTTTTAAGGAGAAAGAGGATGCGGCCTTCAAAACGTGCCCGCGTGGGACATGCTACCTTAAATGAAAATATTCTCCATGCACAACAAGTAGGTGCCATAAATTGGCAGCTAGTTGCACCCGAGCCAATTACTGACTTTCTAGAAGTCCAAGGACACAGTGTCTCAAGTTCTCCTGAGCAAATCTTTATGGGTCTCTTGGCTGTATTACCAGGACTTCTTGGGGGAACTACTAAACTCATAGTGCGACTTAACTATAAAGAATGTGCGATACTCTACAGTGTCTGCCTCGCTGATCCTGGGGCGGGTAAATCAGCAGCGTTTGAAGTGGTTACCAGGCCTCTCGCTGAATGTCAACTTGCTGGCTTAATTGTAGACCGATACACTCAAGCAGGACTCTTCGACCATTTGATGAATGAAAGACATGGGGGCGTGGCACTTCTCATCAGTTCCGAACTGGGAATGTTCCTAGAAAGCGTTTTAAAGCGGCAAGTAGAGGGAGCCGGGGAACGCCAGTTATTTTGTCGTCTTCATGATGGCTCTATGTGGTCTCGAGTAACGGCAAACAGCGACCGCATGGAAGTAACCAACCCATGTGTCATTATCGGAGGCTACAGCCAACCTGAGCCATTTATTGACACCTACTTACATCTAACAAGCCGGAACGATTGTTTTCCCGACCGTCTACTGCTGTCAACTCCACCATCTGTAGCCCTCCATGAAGAAGAGATAGACGAGTGGAACGAAGTGTTAGTTGATTCCTACCAAAACGTGAAATTGTCCCGTGTGTACAGCTTCGTAGCAGAATTCCACAAGGCTGCAGCACGAGAGTACAGCATGTCAGAAGAAGGGAAAGTGGTCTTTAGAAGATATGCGAATGAGATTGCTGACAAACTGAATGAGCAATGGCGTGAGAGAAGGGGGATGCATGGCAACTTGTCTAAAGACAAGAAGACCTGCTTGCGTTTGGCGCTGAATTTGCACGAGTTGTACTTTGTTCTTGGTGAGGAACTTAAAGGAAGATCCCCAACAACAGTACCCATGGTAATTAGCAAGGAAACAATAGCCCAAGCCGTCGAGCTCACCAAATATTTTGCTTCGCAGAGAGGAGTCTATGAAAAGGTAAGACAACTACTCTCTGTTGAGTTTTCTACTCTGAGTGTTCTTGAATGTGACAATATCCTGATCAGAAACTACAACATGGCGTCAGAAGTGGGATCTTGTCCGTGAGTACACTATTTTCAACGCAAATTTGAGCACCAGGCCGGTGCACAACCATGTTTTTCATCGACTCCAACAACAACAACAAACATGGCGGAGTTAGCTGGATTACCCATTCCCCTCATGGATTGGTCCTCGTCAAACGCACTGCAAGCCCTCAGAAAATTAAAAAATCTCTGTCAGCTGTACTTCTCTGCCCCGTTAAATGAAAAAAGCGAGGAAGAACAGATAAGATTCCTACTGATTAGGTCAGGCGACAAAGGGAGAGAACTGGCCTCCACATGAACGCTATCGGACTCGCCCAATACAAACTTTGTACCGTAAAACAAGAACCGTACAAAACAGTCAATTCCTTCCTTGAGAAAGTTCTTCATGATTTGCAATATTCTTCATTTCTTGATGCTTACCTCGTCTGGTTTCCCTTCATTTTACTTACCGCTGAAGATATTGATGGAGATAGTTGAATTCAACTTCTTCGCTAGTCGGATGACGATAGAACGTTTACAAAGCTAGGTCTTTTGACATTCGGTAAAGTGTGCAAGTTTCAGAAGATCACAGAGTCGCTTATGTACGGTGGCCCACAAGGGTCACTACGCATTATCTCACAACATATTTCGAATTATTAAGTACGCATTTCAAATTATGCACAATGCATTCCAAATTCCTCGAAACGCATTGCAAATTGTTCGAAACACATTTCAAATTCACTACAAATTCTGAAATCTTCACAACACATTTCAAAATCTTCACAACACGTTTCAAAATCTTCGCAACACATTTCGAAATCTTCACAACACATTTCGAAATCTTCGTGTTGGGGCAAATTTTTTTCCTTTTGTTTTTCATTTTCTCACTTACTTGTTCTCGTGTATTCTTTTTCTTTTCACTCTCCGGTATTTCGTTAATTACGCTCCTTTGTTACGTGCTGTATGTAAATTTCGTTATAGTATGTTATCTCGCCCTTTTTTTACCAGTTTACGTGTCTATTAGCATAACAGCATTAGTGGAAGTAGATTTTTTTCCTCGGTGGCCCTGACCACCAACCCTGTCATCCTCAGCATTTGGTAAGCATCTTCGTTTTCATCGTTTTTCATTAATTTCATTTTGCAGTTGCCTTAAAGTAGTTGTTCTGTATTGTAACTATTATTTTTTCGCTCTTTGTAGGAATTTACTTTTATGGTTCGTTAATAGTAAAAACATTTGCTGATTGTGAACGTGTTGTGTTTTTGGAATTGGCCCTTGCCCGTTCACTTCGCAACACATTCGCCGCAGGACCCCAAGTGTTGGCAGAGAAAAACGAACGGTTACACAGCTCCTCCTTCTTCCTTCAACGCCATGTTTTGTTCCACGTGTGGAGAGTCTTTGTAAGTTTCATTCAAATTTTGTTCTAAATGCGGGAAGGATCTTGCAAACAACAAAGAAATAAAGGTGCGAGATGAAACGAGAGGGAAGAAGAATCTGTCTTTTAATGAATTTAAAGAAACGAAAGAGAAACAATGGGCCACGTTTTTCAGAAAGAAACCTGGCAGAGTAAAAGGGAGCGGCAAACAGCAGGAAGATCTCAGTGATATTGTAAGATTAATATCGGTATTATGGTACCGGATAGCGGCCAGCTAAGGAGAGTGTAAGGAAAAAGCTTAACAGTAAATGTCCCCAAAAATGCGACAGCAAGCATGCTTCTCGAGGCTGGGGCTGAGAATCACAAAGCACACTCAAAAGATATCATAAAACAAGAGTATAACTATGTGTTGCTTTATAAAGATTGCACTGAGGTAAAAACTCTTAAAGAATCACCAGAGGCGTTTGTCCTGTATAAATACAAGAACGAATGTGGAAACCCTTATCACAGGTTGAACTTCTTTCTATGTGAAGCATTAGAATTTACTCAAACAACTTTAGAAAGATTCATTGAATCAAACCCTTCCAAGTGAAGAAAATAATGCAGAGGACATTGTAGAACAGGTGCATGTAAAGCGTATAAAAAGAGCAAAGTTGTCAAGTGTTTTCGAGGAAGATTCAGAAGACGATCTGCCATCCATGCTGTCCTCTGCAGGTACATCAACCAGCACACTGAACTTTAGCACTGAAGTTGCCAGCGCAGCTAGAGCACAACCCTTTGTTCTCTCACATGGTTTGTCTTGGTGTGGAGGTTGATTCAGAACATTTTACGCTCTCAGTTACGGAAACCCGAGTCAAGGATCTGCTCTCTGAACTGTCTTCATGGTCTTCCCGCGAATTTTACACCTTAAAGCAATTGCAGTCTCTTCTTGGAAAACTCTCTTTCATCGCCAATGTTATAACGTGAGCGGGGTTGAAAGTGTTTAATAGACAAAGGAAGGTTTCCCTGTCAGGAAACATGCGCTCGTGCTATTGTAATGAGTTTCTAAAAGGCAAATAATAAGCATCAGTTAAATCAATTGAATGAATAAAGGGAATCAACAAATCACGGTTAAGATGAATTAATGTGATCCTCTTGAATTAGGTAATCAAATCAGTGTCCTCGAGTATAAAAGCTTGAACATTCATAAAGCACGCCACCCGATCATTGATCACACGAGAAACATGTTGCTCTATATTCAGGCACTGTTCACGAATGGCGGACAAGTGTATACCATGTAACAAAATCGTCTCTACAAGGCAACAAGCCATCCAATGCGATGGTTGTTTGAAATGGAACCACAGAACCTGTAACACTGGTAAGTGTAATCTTCTGCAGTTTTTCGTGAATTCTCTACATTGTTCCTTACCTCACTCTTTTATAATTTCGCAGGCATTTCTCAACAAGAGTATAGAGAAGCTGTCAACGCCGGCACGGGAATACAATGGCTGTGTGAACCCTGTCAGGTGCCAGTTGCGGAGAGTTCTAGAATCTCATCAGAGTCGTCAGCCGCCATTTTAGACTCTTCTGAGTTTAATCCAACTCGTGGTGATTCTTTCAAGGTAAGTCTGTTAATTTCCTTTCTCTCTTCAAGATTTCCTGTTCACTTGTTTAAGTGAAAGAATTTTGAACCGCATTGAAAAACTGCCCATTTGTTGTCATTTTCTTAGTTTAATTGCACTCTTTTTGTGTTTAAGGACTGTTCCACCGATGATGAAGCATCGCTTCCCAACCCTCAAACCCAGCCGCCAACAGATTGAGACAATCTACGCGACCGCGAGATCCGTTAGATCTGGAGTTCGACCTCAACCATGATTATGTACCAGACGGTTTCTTGAAAGCGGATATCCAGATACATGGTAAACGCCACCTTATCTTCGCCACAGACCAGCAACTAGCCCACCTGAGCAAAGCAAAGTGTTGGTATATAGACGGCACGTTCAAGTTAGTGAAGCGTCCTCTTCGCCATCCGCAGAATGAAGTAAATTTCTGATTACCAAACACTTTGAACCGCGCGATGTTTACACCTGATTTTCGCAAGGAACGCAAAATGCAAGCAGTCTCCACGCGTGAAGTATGAAACTGACCTTGCAACTTGTAAAAAACACGTGAGGAAACGTTCTCTACACGTGAATCATCTAGCATAATCAACGTGTAAGGAAATCTGGTTACCGATGGAGCATGAAGGCAAAGCAGAATCAATGAGGAAATGGAGAGAAACCCAAAAGGAGAAGAAAAGGAAGTACAGAAAAGCATTCTATGAAAAAAATAAGGCCAGAATTGCAGAACAGCATGCCCAGAAAAAGAAGAGAAAGGCTGATCAACAAACATCACGTGCAACACGAAACAGGCGTCTCAGAGCGGGAAATAATGCGGGAAAGTCAAGCATGGAAAGAGTGAAAAATTTTCGCCAGAAAAGGAAAGGTCAAAAAAGCGGGGTGAAAGAAAAAGAGTGCAAAGTAGAGAAAGGTCAAAGAATTACCAAGAACAGAAACGGGCCGCCACTGCAGATGAATTTACGGACGAAATGTCTGTTTCTCCCGCTTCATCATTCCAAAGCCGTATGGAGAAAAAAAGGGCTTTAGACCAAACCAAAAACGTTTTACCGCAGACCCCGGAGAATAACTGTTTGATTTAAATATATAACCCTAACCCTACTTTGTGTACAAATCATTAATGTGTCAACGTCAGTTTGGCGGATGGAATGAAGTGTAGGCCCACTTGAAGCCCTACTTTGTGAAAGCAGCAAGAGAAAGGGACAGACGAGCCTGCTTATGTAGAAAACACGAGGAAGCAAGGCTGGTCTTCAACGAATGCGTTAAGTTAAGAAAGAATTTGTTAAAAGAGGCTGTTAATGCTGACAATCCACCTCTTCTTGCGGGTTTTACAAGTTGCTGTTTATTAGTTTGAGCGAGTGATAATGGACGAGACGCCAACTAAAAACAAATCAACCAACCCGGCTTCACCCATTTTTATGTTTTATGTTATCAAAATAGATAAAATCGATCGTTTAATTACAGAAATCGATAGAATCGATAATCACAAAAAGTAGACCCATCGATTTTCATCGCGTAGATATCAATTAGTTACGCTCTGGTCTTAATACACAATAAATACAACTTTGCTGAATCTGCGACTTATCTTTATTGCAGAGTAAACGAGGGCAAACTTGCTGTCCTGGATGCAAGAAGTCATTCAACAACCGTTGTAAGCCAGAGAAGTGTGACCAGTGCAATTGTTACCATGGAGGAGATTTTGTGCCCAGTGAAAAAAAGCAAAAAGTAAATGCTCCCAAGAGTGTGTTACTGTTTAGTAGAGATGATTGTTCTTTTTATTCAGTAAAAACACACTCCAATCCAGTCCATCTGCGGCTTCTTCTGGTTCTTCGAATGAAACAGTCACCTTCTCTAGTCCATCTGCAGCTTCTTCTGGTTCTTTGAATGAAACAGTCACCTTCTCTAGTCCATCTGCGGCTTCTTCTGATTCTTCGAATGAAACAGTCACCTTCTCTAGTCCATCTGCGGCTTCTTCTGGTTCTTCGAATGAAACAGTCACCTTCTCTAATCCGCCTGCAGCTTCCTCTGGTTCTTCGAATGAAACACTCACCTTCTCCAGTCCATCTGCATCTTCTTCCAGTTCTTCAAATGAAATAGTCACCTTCTCCAGTCTATCTGCGGCTTCTTCTGGTTCTTCAAATGAAACAGCTTTTACTACAACTTCTCAAGATTCGGAGGTGGCTGGGCGACAGGCAACTCTCTCTCTGACTTCCAATGCTCAACATCCAAACGAAGAAATAATCGAGGAATCAACCATGCCAGTCATGTCATCGCCCACAGCCGAAGTGGAAACAAGTTCTTCAACGGGCTCAATACAGAAGGTATACCCACAAAGTGGAAGCGTGGAAATGGAGGCAACACATTTTCATATTTCTCCTCTGGCTAGGTTTGCTCCCAAAACATATGATGGGGACCACTGGATAAAGTGCTACGAGTTATTTGCAGCAGCTACAGAATGGGATGGGCTGTCAGATAAGGTGCGCATTGATATGCTTATTTACATACTGGGAAAAAATGCTGTCGACATTTATGACAGTTTTAAACTGTCAGGTGAAGACATCCAGTATGCAAATGTAAAACAAAAATTCGAGGATGATTCATTGATTCAAGTGTACTGTCATCAGTTTTTAAAATGTGGAGATATTTTCTCGGAGTATCTAAAATTCCCAACAAAAAAGATGCGAGTGAAGTGTGTCAAACCCCCAGAAAGGCAGATTCAAAAGAGTATGAGAAAACAAGATCGAGGAAATTCACTTTGACAAGGAAAGTTGGCCGGCCTTGTACTCCGCTACCTTGACTGATTTCCATATGGTGAACGTACAGAAGCTTAAAGATGTGCGAAAGATGAAAGTCATCTTGTGAACATCATCACAAAAACAGTTATGCCAGGTTATATCAAGAAGGGAAGGCTAACACGAGATCAGATCGGTCAGGCATTTTTTGACACATTTGTTCCAGAAAAAATGTTGAGGCCCCATGAAAAAAGTGCATCTTAAGTCATGGAAGTTTGCTTGGCAAACAAAGAAAAACAAAACAGCTAGTGGTGTTGCACCCTTTAAGAATAACAGCTCTCTTTACACATTTCTTGGTCGTCATTCTCTCAAGGCACCTCACTCTCCAGACCCGTCCAGTTGGCCTGTCGTCATGTTTGATGCCATTGTAGCAGTTCAGTCAATGTGAAAGTCATCATGGGTAAGAAACAAGCGTGACCTGGGAAGCCATTTCATAGAAGTTGTTGATGCTAAGTCTAACGTTGCCAACGAGGTTCATGTCGTATTTGACCGCTAATATATCCTCTACTCCAGGAAAAAACGTGCCAGAAACGTCTGGTTACAAACAGAGCAGTGATATACAAGATTACTGTCGATGCTGTCATTGGCAAGACAACTATGAAAGATCCTTTGAGCTGCAACCATAATAATGATGGACGACTCATCGAGTGCTTAGTTTTGTGTCGTGACCATTTCCAGCATTTGTGGCATTAACATCATGGAAGCAAGTATAAATCTAGCATCTACATCTCGTGCAGGGTTGAAGAACTCTTCTTATTCTAGTGAAGGAAAGACAAAAGTTTTCAAGTACGGGCGAAGGAGCCCCTGGGTACCGACTCTATGGATGTTTCCAAACATTCAAATGGATGCCGGCTCCTGATTGGACACACAAAATCCTTCGTATTATTGAGGGACTGGTTTGAAAAAAAGTGGCTTTGTGAGAACAGGGTAAATGAAAGGAAGATCTATTAATTATTTCATTGTTACAACTATACAGGCCAAAGCAAAATTCTTGCACCATTATTTTCATTCAAAAATCCGTGCTACGAATTATATTTTATTATGAAATTAACCACTACAAAAGAAGGCTTACATTATTATTTTAATATCCTTCTCCATAATATACCTCACTTATGCACTGTATTTTGTTCCTACTTATTAACCAAGAGATGGGTTTGGGCTTATCGCAAAGATCAATTTAACGTGGCAATCAATATCAATAATGGCATCAAAAGACAGAACAGGTCATTCAAGTACGACTTCCTTGCTAACCAACGTAATACAAGCCTTTCAGGGATGCTCACAGTGTTGAGTAGCAGTACTGGACCACTGGGGAGTTGAAGCAGTATAACCAAGCACTTCCACAGTGGCTCCACAACCACCCACGCGCATTTGTTGACCATGTCAGAATACATCTGGACAGTTCTCTCAATGTAACCAAAGAAGATATCAAGTCCTTCCAGACGAAGCGCCAACATTTACAATTAAGACACACACAAAACACACTCACACACACACACACACACTCTTATCCGGCCTGAATTAAACTTATAGTTTTGTATTCGAATCATTTGAGATAGGAGATAAATAGGTAAAACAAAAACTGAAATATGGCTCTGTGGTATGCTGTGGACATCCGATTTATATTCAGTTTTATGAAAACATCAAATTTTATGGAAATGATTCATAATGGTTTATAATCTCCTCTTGTAGAAAACTGGTTTTTAGTTCAATACGAGGACAATCCAGTTATAAGAGTGCTCAATGAAAGGGAGGTTAAGCACCTTGATCGGGACGATAATGAAGAAATGCAAGAGGGGGAAACTGTAATGGCTTTCTGGTCAGCAGATAAATAATTTTACGAAGCAGCAATCATCAAAATTAGCGGTGAGTGTCTTATAAAAAAACAAGTTAGGAGTTGAGAGTGTGAGAGGATGGATGAGAACCTGCAACCAGTGTATCACATGTTTCCTGGTTCACCAAGATATAATGCACGCGTGCTTAAGATATGCAAAAACTGGAAATTTCTGATTAATGATTATCATAATATTTATATTTAAACCTACAAAAAACAAGCCCACAACTCTTTCAGACTCAGTAGCCAAATGCCCAAAAGCAGTCAAAAGTGAGTAGGTAAAATATCATTGTGTGCGTGAGAATGCAATTATACGATGTTCTGCCAGGCAGATCACTGTGAATTTTGAGCTACATGTGATGATCTAGATATGTGAATAGATTGTTGTCATAATTTCCCTAATGGCAGTCCAATAACATTATAGGGTCCTTTTGCTTTTAATTTAAATGTGATTGCTTTCAAGTCACATGCAGCTATGTGATTCAGATGTTAGTGTAAATTTCAAAATATATATTGGATTATTTCCCTGCAACTCTTTTAATAACACTTTTTTGGCAGATGAAAGAGTTTCTTTGAGGGCAGTGGTGTTTACTGGTACTCAAGCCCACGTTCTATTTGTTCAGCCTGCACAAAATGGGAGGAGTACATTAATACGGTTGTTGATGTATTCTTCTCAAAAGAAAAGCTGAAGATGTCATGTGCAAGAGGGAATAAGAAGGGGAACAAATCAGAGAACACTATTCCCCTCTGTCAACCTATTGTGGATGCTATTATTGGTAAGTACTTTTTAAAATATTTTTGTTAAGAACAGCAGGGAGGTTTATGCTCAATCTACTTAACCTCAATCTGCAATCTTCCTGTAAAATTGCTAATGGGGATTCTTATTTCAACTTTTTCACTCCCAAGAGTCTGAACTTGAAAACCAAAAAAAACAATGAATATTAATGTTTTTGTTGTATGTATTATATCTTACAGGGAAAGTTTGTGCACGATTCCAGCCTCCGCCAACTGTGGCACATATAACATCAAAATTGAATCAGGCATTAATATTAAGTGTTAAAAAATTTCACAAAAGTACATGTACTTGCATGTTCACTGCAGCAGTATTCTAAACCTCGTTCCAAGGGTCGTCTTTTGATGAGGACATATGTTACCAGCTGCATGCATGCAATTTATTTTGTTTCATAAGATTGTATACAGTCGAACCTTGTGTATTAGCAACTGATATAGACTGATATACAATAAAAATATTTGTGATTAATTGTTGCAATAGTGTGTGGTCATGTCCTGAGTGCATTTCTAAGCTGTAAAGAATATTAAGGTTAAATCCCTACATATTCCTGAAGTGCTCGCTGCAGTCACCAGCCATCAAACACAGAGTTTACATGGTGGTCTGAATTTACACCACCAATGCTTAAACGGAAGTCACAAATTGCATGGCAAAATTCATGCGGTAGTCATATTTTTTCCACGTATGGTTGAATGGTCTAGTACTGCTTGTTTGCAGTTTCCTTTGACATTTTCTCCATTTTTGGCCAATATCTGAAAAATTGTCCAACACTGACTGTTTTCCACATTTTCTCCATATATGGCCAATATTTGGAAATAGTGCAACACTGACTGTCTTTAGTTTTTTCTTCCATAGTTTCTCCATATGTGGGAAATATCTGGAAATGGTCCAAAAACTTATTAATTCCAGACTGGACCCAGAACCACCTACCCTGCAAGCACATGTGTGCCATCTTTCGCAATTCTGCGCCAGAGTACAGCTGGGACTCCTTTTCTTCACTTTACAGGCTGCACAAGTCCATATTTTTCAACTTAACAATGAGGAATCAGTCATGGGAAACAATATACCAATGTCCCAAACGTGTTAGGAAACGGTTGTATGGGAGTTGTTCTATTGCTTCTTTTGTTCCATTTTTGTCTTTTCTACTCTTGGTTTTCTTCGCTTGCACATTGCCTATATAAATCTATTGCAGCATTTGTAAGAAATCTATATCTAGCAAAGCAAAGTAACTAGATAACTGAGGTGTAATGCATCAAACAAAAAACGACAATATTTTTTTTTGTATTGGTTATGGAAGAGGACATATATTTCTCCATCTGTACCCTATACACTTGTTTTTAATAACAATACTACTACACTACCGATTCAATCAACAAGCGCAGGAAGTGGAAGAAACCTACGATCAGTACAATACAGCACTCCATAAACTTGCCAAAGGATGCGAATTCAACAACACAACTCCAGATGAAATGCTTAGAGTTCTTTTAATTTTCAGCAAAAGTGACACAAAAGTGGGAGAAAGATTGCTCCGGGAGTCTGACCTCACTGCCACAAAGACTGATGAGATGTGTTGCGCCGCCAAGGGCATTCAAGCACAAATGAAAGTCATCTGCAATTCTTCTAAGCAGGAAATCAATAAAGTAGATCATGAGCGCACCCTTACCATGCAAAAACCCAAGAAAACTGCGCAAAGAAGGCAACCACCAGGGCAGCAACATTGGAGAGAGTGTGACAATTGTGGATATCAAGATCTGGAAAATTCAGAATCCGGTCCCATCATGGATAAGGAATGCCTAAAGTGTGGAAAACGGAACCACTTCATAGTGAAATGCAAATCCAAGGGAGTCAAAGCAGCTGGTTTAGATGACAGGGAATCCAGTGAAATGTACCAAAAAGATGTAGCAGCCGTGAAACAAATAATCGCCTCGTAAAACTGGATACAGGTCATCTTTAACTTCCCTTGTTGCAATTCACCATTGGCTATGTCTGTGTAAACTGCGGGGTGAAAACGTCGCAACACATAGAGAGGGCAAAAAAGGGGGGAAAGGTACAGGAAAATCAGAAATTGCAGGTGTAATAAACATTCATAATAACTAAAAAGATCAAAGATCAGCCGAAGAGTGTTTCGACAAGTGGTTTCAGTACTTAACTGCAGAAGGAGTACAGAGGGGCTGGTATTGGTCTAGATGACCAGATTTTGTAGGCATAAGAAGTCATCACTTCCAATGACATCAGTGCAAAACCAAGGGATTTCCCTTAAAAACAGAATCAGAGATATTAATGAAATCTCCAGCGTGTGTAAGAATTATTCCATGTGACTGGCCAAAGTAGTCAGCTGTCTAGTCGTCCATTGCCAGGAAAAACGAGAACCTTTTAGTGTCTATGACGATTCCTTGCACAATCTGAAGTGTTTGCAAACGGACACCGCTAATCCCCCCCGAGATTGAAAAGCTTCAGTTTGATCAGCCACATCCCTTCGAAAAAAAGGAAACAGACCAGTATAGATTTAAAGTAAGTCGATGACACCAACAAAGAGGCAAAAGATTAGCCTGTTCTTCCCGTCGAGCCAATAAAGTCCACCCTTTGCTCGAGGAGGCTGAGAAGCTTTGTCAGAGAGGCAGAAACAGATTCTTTTGGCCAATTAGTTTGACTTTGGGTGGTCATTAATACGAGAATATAAGCGAAACGATCTTGTGGAACGATCGGGTAGAAGCCAGAGGAGGCCAAACAAAGCTTAGGGTCAAGGCCAACAAACAACAGAAGGGAGCACTCTGTGTCAAAGACATTGGAGAGCACAGCGTCCTAATACTACAAAGTTTCCCAACAGTCAATGACTAGCTGCCAGCCTGCTGCAAGAGCTAGGATGGGACAGGATTTTTATACGCAAAATTAACCTCCTCACTATAGAAATATTTAAGGTTCACAACAATATGGCACCTGAATACCTATGCCAAAAAGTTTTGAAAATGAGGTCCACTTGTGATACTATGGGTTCCTCTTCTCTTTAAATTGCCTCTTCCCAAAACCAATAATGGCAAAAACGGGTTTTGGCTATAGGGGCGCATTTAATTGGAATAAATTATGCAAGGACTGCGCAAATGCAAGTCAATGAACCTATTTAAATCTAAATTGGACTGCTTGCTTCCCAGCTTCTTTGATTCCTCACTATAATCCTAATTTAGAACATTTTATCAAAGGTTAATACCTAGTTCTACATATATTTTTTTTCTTTTTGACAACTACAAACACCTCGAAACTCTGATAGATATATATAGATTTTTTAACATGGCTTTTATGTAAACCAGCTTTAGCTGATAGAACTACCGTGACTATCTATCTTTTCCAGCGTAGTTTCAAGGTGCGGTCAATTCTATTACTGTTTGAAATAGTCCTAGTGACATTTTTGACAATGATCTTTCAGACTCAGATCATTTAGATAAGGCAGTCGAAATAAAGTCACTGTTAAATTGTGAGTTTAAAACAGTCAAAATAAACCTAATGGTTTTTTTATTCATTTTGCTCCGCGTAGTGGAGCCGAAATTAAAAGTTTGGGCACACCCCCTCAGAGAATTTTATATCAGCGTATTTGGAAATCTACATCTTTCTGGCTGAAATTTAAGTACTCTGGTAAGTTAAGCTTTTTTTAGCCAGCAAATTGCTGGTAAGTCGAAATGTTATTTCACTCTTTCTGTTGATAGAAAAATTAGGTAGCCATGCCATCCAGTTCGAATATTGGATTTTATTAATGGAACCTGTTTGTTTTATGCTGTATTTTGGCTGTATTTTTCTTGCATGGAATTTCCCATTGTTGTTTTCTTTTTAATTACCAGGCACTTATCACACCGTTTTGTTTTTTCTTTTCAATCTGCTTGTGTTCATTTGGAAGAAACAAGGCAACTTGCTCCAGCTTTTTAGCAAATTATATAAACTTTTGTTACTATTTTCTGCTTGTGGTTAATGTTTGAGCTGGAAGGGTCAAATGGAGAAGAATAGGCTTGAAGAGGTAGCTTGCAAGCATTCTGTTTTCATGCAAAGTTTTTATCCAACTCGTTTCGCACTAGGTTGTCAATTATCTATTGTCCACCCTACTCTAATCTGCATCCGGTGTCTCTGAAAACGTTTTTTGATGACTTTGTTTCATACATGGAGATTATCATTCTAACACCAGAACTGCTTATCATTATGGGTGACTTTAATATACATGTTAATAATACGAACGATTCTGATGCTTGTGAATTTTTGGATTTGCTGGCGTCGCTTGGCCTAAAACAATATGTCATTGGTCCTACCCACGAGGGTGACCACACTCTGGACTTGGTGATCACCAGGCAATATGATCAGGTTATTAAGTCTGCCATGATGATTGATCGGTTTATCTCGGACCATGCCACAGTACTGTGTCAACTTGATTCAGTGAAACCCTGTAAAGCTGTTAAGGAAATCAGTTACAGGCAGCTAAAATCTATTGACATGGATGCACTCAGAGCTGATTTAACGACGTCTGAATTGTGTACCAATGTTTTTACGGATTTGGATATGATGGTCTCCTGCTACAACTCCACACCGTCGTGGTTACTTCATAAATATGCCCCTCTGAGAACTAAGTCTGTTGCTAATAGGAAGCGTGTGCCTTGGATTAACCACAGAACCTCTCTTATATTTCTAAATTGTCGGAGAGGGCTGGGGCTGAGCAGTTTATGGAGCATCTGACTGCCAACAATTTACATTCTCAGCTTCAATCGGCGTATAAACAGCAATACAGCACGGAGACGGTCTTACTTAAAGTTAAGAACGATATTTTGATGTCTATGGATGAGCAACATGTCACCTTGCTTGTATTATTAGAATTAAGTGCAGCTTTTGACACGATACATCATGATAAGCTGATTGGTCGCCTTGAGTCTGATTTGGGAATAACTGACAATTCGCTTGCCTGGTTTAAATCGTATCTATCTGGCTGGTTCCAGCGTGTCTCTGAAAATGGTAGTCTCTCAGATCAGTTTCCTTTAAAACAAGGTGTTCCTCAAGGATCATCTTTGGGCCCCCTGCTTTTCACTATCTACACGCGCAAACTGTTTCAGATCGTTGAACGCCACCTCCCACAAGTTCACTGCTACGCGGATGATACACAGTTGTATGTACCATTCAGCCCCAATCGATCTGCGAATGTTGATTTTGCCATCAAGTCCATGACTGACTATATCAGTGACAGGAGCTGGATGATTTCAGATCATCTTATGTTAAACAATGATAAAACAGAATTTTTAATTATAGGTACTAGGCAGCAGCTGGCCAAGGTTAACATCAATTGCATTAGGGTTGGGTCGACTGATGTTTGTCCTGTAACAGTAGCTAGAAACCTAGGCTCATGGTTTGATGAGCAGTTCACTATGTCAACTCATATTAGCAAGTTATGTGGTGTTGCCTTTTACCATTTGCATAATATCAAACGCATTCGCAAGTATTTGTCTCGAGAATCAACGGAAATGCTTGTCCATGCATTTATTACAACTCGTTTTGATTATTGTAACAGTCTTTTGTATGGGCGGCCCAACTACCAGCTTAACAAATTGCAGAGAGTTTTGAATGCCTCAGCCAGGCTACTTTGTAATGCACCTTGGTTTTGCCACATCTCACCCCTTCTTCGTGTTCTGCATTAGCCTCCTGTTAAAGCTCGGATAGAATTTAAGATACTGCTTATTACGTTCAAAGCAATTCACGGTCTTGCTCCTAAATATCTATGCGATTTACAAACATTGAAATCGTCCTTATATAACCTTAGATCTTCAGATAGTATTTTACTTTCTATGCCAGCTGTTCGATCGAAGACGTTAGGTGATAGAGCTTTTAAGGTAGCAGCGCCAAGGCTCTGGAACTCTCTTCCAAAAGAACTTTGTGTGATTACTAATGTGAACAGTTTTAAGGCGTATATTAAGACTTATCTTCTTAAAACTTTATATTGGTGAGCAATTTTCTATTCAGTTCTTACTCGCACGCATATATATTTATTTATTTTTTAATACATTATCTTTTATTTGTTTCTTTTAAAGTAATGCAGTTGTAATACGCAGCTGATCATTCTCATGTTAAGCTGCGCACAATAAGTTCATAAATTACTAAATTATTGAGTGATTTGTGGCCTCGTCCAGGTCTTGTTAAATAAAGATACCAAGGACCTCGGCAAATGCAATCCTAAATTCTGCCACAAGTGCTACAAGCTTGTATCAAGAGAACACCAGTTGCTACAGCATCAAAGTTGCATACCAAACGCTGTGACAGCACCCATACAAAATGAAACCTCAATGCAAGGGGCAGTTTCAGTTAAAACACGACCCCTTCCACCAGTGACACCCCCACGAGCACTTCCAGACAAATCCCTCGTGGTAGAGACTGATGATGACTTAGCTTTTGAAAATCATTGAAATGCTCTCGCGAAAAAGCAGAAGTATCAGTCCGTGCTTAAAGAGAGGCCATAAGAATACATATTACAATGCTGTAATTAAAACAGCTGTCTTATAACGGCTTTAACATTTGGACAACCGCATCTAAGGAAAACCTGAACTACATTTTTTCACTACAGAAAAGAGGATCATCTTGGACACAAAACAACGCTCATTTTCATTGCCCTTGTTCAACACGTTAAATTTGCTTCCTTTGTATCAAGATGCATACATCAACAGATGCACATTGATTCTCAACAGAACACAAAACACCTGAATACCAGGAAAATCTACGCTTCAACTGAATTCTGATGTCTACTCCATAAATACACGTTTCAGCAAACTGAACCTATGCTGCCCCATATACAACAACTACTGAAGGTGATGAATATTCTCAGTTAGATCAATTGACGACTGGAATAACATGGAGAAAGCGCTCATAAACTCTAACGACACAAAAAATTTCGGAGTCTAAAAAACACTTTTCTAGAAAGACAAAGCAAGTAACAAATTTGGCATGCCATTTAAGATTATTTATGAATTAAAATAAACTATTGCTTATTAATTTACCTTTTAGAATAACACTTAATGGTATTGTATATATTAGAGAGAGATATATATTTTCTGAACTGGTTAGAATAATTATTCTAGAGTGCCCAACTTTTCAGGAGCAATAAAAAAAAAAAGAAAAGCAACAGAAAAGGGCAGATAACATGGTACAACCCAAGACTGTGCTCTTAGAAAAATTGAAGGGAGCCCAGTGCACTGAACCTGTAAAATCCAGGGTGCCCAGCATATGATTTGTACGAAAAATCTGAGATTTTCTAGTTGCCCAAGAGCGAAAGTTTGGCAGCAGGGACCACCGGGCTTTGCTAGAGCACAGCCCTGCAACCCCTCGTGGGACTCAAATGTTAAAACAAATCTAGGGAGAAAATCTTTGGGCATCATCATTAAATGCTTTCCAAAATACCACCCACTACACAAGATCTTCAACAGACACACACTAAAACTACTCTTGCATGCCAAACATGAAGGCCATTCTATCGTCCCACAATAAACATATCCTCTCATTAAACGCTGCTGTAACATCATCTAGAGAACAATCTGCACAACCATCAAAGACGTGCAACTGCCGAAAAAAACCGGAATGTCCCCTTGAAGGTAATTGCCTGCAACAAAATGTGATTTAACAAGTAACTGTAATGGGGACAACAACGGAATCATGCATTGGACTAGCCACTAACTTCAAAGAATGGTACAGAAACCACTTGAGATCCTTTTGACATGCGCACACAAGAAACGAGACTGAACAAGTTCTTCACAACCAATCACAGAACGCACTAATCCAACCGTCCACGAATTTCGAATTTCCACCTTAAAACCAAAATCTGTTTTCAGAATTTTTAGTCTGATGATTCCTTAGTGCGTGAAACTCCAAGTTACAACTCCTTTACTGTTTGTGTTTGTTATTGGAAGGATGTCAACCGCAGTACTACTCAAGGAAGCGTCAGCGGTCCTTATTTGTTTAACCTGTTCTCAAACGATCTTGACGTCGCTCAGTACTGCCAGGATAGTGATCTTACAAAGTACGCAGACGACAATTCTATTCTTGTGACTGTGCGTAAGAATGGTGTAGATGAATCACAAAAGGTACTGAATGCATTTTTGGAGTTCACAGAGGTTAATGATATGAGCTGTAACACAAGCAAATGCATAGAACTCTGTATGGCTAAAAAAGGTGTCACACCTAACTTTCCCCCTCTATGTGGCATAGAACAGAG